GGGGGGGCATCTAGCGTGTAACACAGTTATAAGTTCTGCTTGGGTTTCAAATGTGGTTTTCTAAGAGTCTGGCGTTGCCGTTTTGCTTTGCCTCCGGCTTACGGCTGGTAGGATACACTGTGGAAGGGTCTGCACCCTTGACCTCCAGTGTGGACGTGGCATCGCCAAATGCAGACTCTCAGGCCCCACCCAGAGCCCACTGAGTGACATCGCAGCTCAGCCAGATCTCCGGGTGGTTCCCAGGCGCAGTGAGGCTGGAAAAGCCTCGATCAAGCATATCTTTCACCCCCGTGCACTGACCTTGGCCTTGGACTTGAAGACAGACTTGGGGAAGAGGTGGCAGGGCACGTGGGAGGTGATGAGACGTGGGCCCTCCTGATGCTTTAGGATTTCGTGCCCGTGTGTGTTCTCCACCCAGGGCGAGCGCTCCCAGATGGGCACGGACTGGACCCACGCGGGGTCCCCCTTGGAGTAAATCAGGCAGAGGATTTCGATCAGCCAGTTCGTTCCTGGATAAAGAGGGGAAAAGGATGGTCATTCATTTTTATAATCTGACTTTAAAAATTATTGTGATAAAATAGAACATAAATTGTACCTTCTTAACCATTTTCTTAAAAATTTTTTATTGATTTTAGAGAGAGGAAGGGAGAGAGAAACACTGACTTGCTGCTCCGCTTATTCAAGCACTCATCGGCTGATTCTTGTATGTGCCCTGACCGGGAACTGAACCCGCAACCTTTCGGGGTGGGACATGCTCCAACCAACTGGGTACCGAGCCACCCAGCCAGGCCCAGGCTCTTTTCCTTTTTCTCCTTTTAGAATATGTCTTTATTGATTTCAGAGAGAGGGAGGGAGAGGGAGAGAGAAACATCAGTGATGAGTCATTGATCGGCTGCCTCCTGCACGCCCCCTGCTGGGGACCGAGCCCCAAACCTGGCATGTGTCCCGACCGGGAATCGAACCACGAGCTCCTGGTTCATAGAGGGTGACGCTCGACTGCTGAGCCACACCGGCCGGCCCAAACTCTTTTTCAATTTCTGCCCATTGTCCATGCCGAGAGCTTTACTGAAAATATCCCTTTTCGTGAAATAATTTCACATTCATTCTTTTCATCTCAATTTAGACGCTATTTCTTCTACTTTCCATTTTTGGCTCTGGGAGCTGCGTTCTGGCCACCTCTCCTGCCACTTTCATTCAGATGTAAGTGACAAAGAAAACTGTGCACCGCTACAGTGTACAGTGCGGTGACCGGCGCAGGCACGCGCTGGGGACCGATTGTGCAACCAGGCTGCTCAGCGGGCCAGCTCCCCACCTGAGGACTTTCGCTCCTACCCCTCGGGAAGGACGTCACTGGCCTTCGCCCTCCACGTCTCCCACCAAGCACCACGGCTACCTTAGGCTTCGCCCCTAGTACCTTCCATTGCCCCTCTGGCACTCGTCTGCCTGTGTCACTGCCTGGCCAGATCCTTTCCCCTGAACGTGAGTGGCATCGGGGCACAGCTCCACCCCCCAAGCACTGCACGTCGCTGCAGGGAGAAAGCTCTCCAAGCGGAATGGACGGCTGAGGGCCACAGGCGCAGCCTCGGTGCCCGACCCGCTTCCTCACCTGATTTGGGGAAGGACACGGTTAAGACATCTTGATCCTTAAACACAAAGTCCTCCCGTATGGCTCTCAGGTGCTCAGGCGTGCAGTCCACCACGGGGAAAGGTATCCCTTCAAACCACACGTACCCGTCGGACATGACCGCGTGCTCTCGGGCCGGCGCCCGGTCCCAGGCTGGGGCGGCTGCCGGGAGGTCGCCTCTTATACTAAGGACGAAACAATCATTAACCTCCGGGCTGGCTGAGGAGTTTGCCCGCTGATAAGAAGTAGATGCTGCAGCTAACAGGTGACCACAAGGTTGACGCTGTTGAGCAACCGTGAAGTCATTCAGAGAACACCGGGGCAATCCGAGTTTGAACCCATGGGAGGCGACCAGGAATTCAACAAGCCCGAGGGTGTAGAAATGTGGGGGAATTAAAAATATTTTTAGCCTTGGACGGGTGGCTCAGTTGGTTGGAGCACTGTCTGGTACACCAAAAAGGTTGTGGGTTCGATTCCCGGTCAGGGCACATACCTGGGTTGTGGGTTTGATCTCTGGTCGGGGCAGGTACGGAAGGCAACCGATCAATGCTTCTCTCTCACATCAATATTTCTCTCTCTCCCTTCCTCTCTCTCAAATCAATAAAGACATATCCTCAGGTGAGAATTAATAAAAAATTTTCAATATGCTTTATTTTTAGAACAGTTTTAGATATATAGAGAAAGTGCAAAGATAGTATAGAGAGTTCCCATAATTTATACTTTATTCAGAATTCCCTAGTTTACACCTAGTGTCATTTCTCTGTCCCAGGATCTCATCTCTTCTTAGGCTCCTCTTGGCTTTTGAGGGAGAAAGACAAGAAACCAGACCACATCTAACAGTATATTAAGAGCACGAAGGTGGAAGCGAAGGGCCCTGGACACACGTGGGAGCCCTGGACGGCGTGGCTCAGTGGTTAGCGCGCCGGCCTGTGCCCCAAAGGGTCGAGGATTCAATTCCCGGTCAGGGGCACCCACCTAGGTTGCAGGGGGATCCCCCTCCGGTAGGAAAGCCTGCGGGGGGCAANTGATTCCCGGTCAGGGGCACCCGCCTAGGTTGCAGGGGGATCCCCCTCCGGTAGGAAAGCCTGCGGGAGGCAACCAATCGATGTGTCTCGCTCACATCGATGTTTCTCTCTCTCTCCCCCTCCTCCCCTCCCCCCTCCCTTCCACTCTCTCTCAAAATCAATGGAAAAAATATTCTCAGGGTAAGGATTCACAAAAAACAACAACAACAAAACACGTGGAAGGGGCACCTCGCTAAGGTTTAGGAAACAGGCGACCTTCCAAAAGAAAGTGATATTTAAACTGTTATCTCAGAATCCAGTGGAACTTCGCCAGGCAGAGACGGAGCGGATGTGTGTATTAGGCAGAGCGGATAAAGGTCTGATAGTTATATTTTTACCAAACAGGTAACTGTCTTATTTTTTCATTCAGTATAATTTCATTCCTTCTAATCGCCAAACTCCAGACAGGAATCATAAGGATACTGTGAACGGCCAATAATNCATTTTTACCAAACATTTAACTGTCTTATTTTTTCATTCAGTATAATTTCATTCCTTCTAATCGCCAAACTCCTGACAGGAATCATAAGGATACTGTGAACGGCCAATAATCATTGGGAGCCGGCACAGGTCAGGAATAGTCTGAGCACTTTACAGAGGAAAGTATAAACCGCGACCCTGACTGTCCCAGGAAGCCCTGTCCCCCTGCCCACCCGCCGAGCCGTAGGAAACTGGATAACCTTCCAAGAATGATTAGTGGCAGACACTGGCTGAGGTCACACATCTTCGTTCTTGTTAAGCTTGTTATCTGTAAGCTGTTTGCTTTGGGCCCAGTCCTAGGTTATTTAACCCAGTTTGTTTGTTTGTTTTTTTAAACTGATTTCAGAGAGAGGAAAGATAGAAACATCAATAATGGGAGTCATTGATCCACTGCCTCCTACTGGGGATCGAGCCTGCAACCCGGGCATGTGCCCTGACCGGGCATCGATCTCTTGGATCCTAGGTCGATGCTCAACCGCTGAGCCACACCAGCCAGGCATTTGCCTCGTTTTAACATCCAAAGGTTTGAGGCATCAGGCATGGGATGGCAACTCCAACTCCATTTTAAAATAGCTCCGTTTATATTATTTTTTACGACACAAAACTGTTGAATCTGAAAAAAAAAAATCCTGATATTTTTGTACAGCTTTTTACTCCAACAGCCTGGGCCCAGAGCCTGCAGGATGGGCAGCTATTTCTACTGGGGAGGCAGAGTGAGCGCGAACATTCGGGCGGGGAGTGAGGGGAACAGAGCGAGGCCTGAGGCCTTTCTTTGTCCCCAGGGCACCTGCGAGGGGCCATTGAAGGGACTTACGGAGAGTCCCAGCTCTTTGAACAAAATGTTCCGGCATCTGAGAGACAGAGCAAAGTATCGAACTCCGCTCCCTACCGCATGACACTCAAGGCTGGGGAGTGGCTGCTGAGTGGGCACAGGGGTTCCTTTTGGGGTGATTTTTAAAAGTTTTATATCTTTTTAAAATTTTATTGATTTTAGAGAGCGAGGAAAGCAGAGAGAGAAACAGGGACGTGCTGTCCCGCTCATTCACGCGCTGCTTCTGGTCTGTGGCCCGCAGGGGACTGAGCCGGCCACCTTGGGGCGCTGGGCCGCCCGGGGTGCGATGAAGCCACTTTGGGGCTGGAGAGAGGTGGTGGCACAACCCTGCGACCGCACTCAGCGCCGCTGAATCCCATGTCATGGACCCCACCTCCCCAGAGCCGGGTGCCTTGCCCTTGGTCATGCGACCAACTGGAGC